CTGAATAGCTTGACCTTTCAAACAATTTTGCCAGCATGAGAAACTGGAACAGTGATGAAACTTACTGTAATATTTTTGTGTTTTCTACCCATACAAGACCAATGATTTACCTGATTAACTGATGATCATTTTCGATGAGATCAGAAATGAGAAGGAAGCTAGATAGGTATAATGCAGCTTCATTGCTTCTACCAGATGTTTCAGCAAAATTTGATACTGTCAATCATGGTATCCATCTTCTGGTATGCTTGGTAGATACAGGACTTGTAGATCTCAAGTTGTGATATTTGCCTGAATCTTCCAGACTCTGGGAGACTTTTATTCAGCCTATGAGATTCTTCAGGACTCTTTTTGGGGAAGGTTCATAATATTATTTAACATCTTCATGAAGCTACTATTGGAGGTATTGTCCAAAGACTAATGCTGGATCTTGTCACTATGATGATGTTACACAGCTCTGTCTTGAACAGGTAAGGCAGTTATTGAGGAGGCTGTGGAATTAGTGTCTCACTGTAATAAAGAACTGGATAAGGTGAAGAAACCAAGGCTCTTCTCAAATGAGATAGAGATTCTGTTTATTAGCAAAAAGGCAAACCTATGATTAGAATATAATTTTTCTTCATGATGAGCCACTTGTCTCTCTTCCTAAGCCACAGTGATATCACCTGACATTTCAATTACTGTAATATACTTTACTAATGCAAAGTATAGTGGCCATCTTTTAAAGTATTGTACATTTTACAGAACATGGACAGAAACAGCTACCCAGCCCAGTTCCAGGAACTCGGCTTTTAAATACTTGCCTTTTCTTCTGTGTAGAAAAGTTCAGTTTTTATTGCTTTTATGCAACCCTATCCAAAGGAATGAGTGAAGGGGAAAGAAAACTGAGCCCTTTTCAATTCATTTTATCTTTACAGAATACTTATCCCTGATACTTCACGAAGGAGTTAAACAGTGCTGCACCTGTACTAATTAGGCTGGTACTCATAAGCCAGGCCACTCCAAATGGCTGCTTGGATCAAGCCTAGGACTAAGTTCTGCAATGGCATCAACATCATGAAACTCAGAACGAGATCTGGGGGTGCAACATTGGTAGGCAGGTTGGTACTAGTTTGCCTACTTGCAGGTACTTGCAGGAAGAGAAAAATACCATTCTTATCCATTATTATTTTAAATATTCTTAATATAGAGGCCCTTACAAGCACAATGTGCCTTCCATGTGTTCAGTGTAGCTTACTCCAACCAGGAGCCCTGGTGGCACAGTGGTTAAATGCCTGTACTGCAACCTCTCACTCACAAACCACAAGGTTGTGAGTTCAATACCAGCCAGGGCCTCAGGATCAACTCAGCCTGGCATTCTTTTGAGGTCACTAAAATGAGTACCCACCTTGTTGGGGTCAATTGGCTTACACATTGTAAACTGCTTAGGGAGTACTTAAGTGTATTGATAAGTGATATAGAAATCTACTTGCTATTGCTGTTACTACCATAAGTGTGCATAGGATCGATTGCAGCCAGCCTTTGTTATGTCTGGAAAGGTTCAGTGATAACAACTGCCTTATTATGTTTCAGTGCTTGATCAGTTAGTACACTACTAAATAATCCCAGCTGGATTTACAGAAGGAATGAAGGGGAGCACAAAGACAACAGAGTCTTGGTTGCCCAATTTTGCCACATCATTTCAGAGGGACCCTCCCTTTGCCCAGTCTTGGGAGGGGGCCAATCCTTCCTGCTGCCCCCCTTCTCAGATCCATGGTTCAAAAATTAGAATCCTAGAATTAAAAGGGATCACAAGTTCTATTTAGTCCAATTCCTTCCATGCAGGAACACACAACTAAATCAGCCCTGAAAGATGCCCATACAACATCTCTTTAAAGACCTCCAAAAAGCTTGCTCTCTATTTTCTTCCCTTTTCTCCCAACAGTCACCTGTCATGGTTACTGAGAATACTGAGCCCTAATTGTGCTTCTTTGAGGAGGGATCCATTGTAGGTTTTTCCCATTTTTTAAAATTTCCATTCCTGTACATCTTGATACTTTTCCTGTACATCTTGATACATACTCTTTTTTGGTTGGATTATTTAGGCAATCTTGGTATCAGGTCATTATTCATTCTCAAGGGCTCTGTTAGAGGGAGTGATAAGGAAAGATCTTGCTGAATCAGCCCAATGATTTTTATGTTCTACTACTATAACCAACACTAACTAGACCAGGGATAGGCAACCTTTCCCCTTTAAGGGCCGAGGGACTTCAGTTCCCAGAAGCCTCAGCCATGTTGGCCAATAGTCCCATGTTGGCCAATAGCTCCTGGGATTCTGGGAGCTGAAGTCCCTCGGCCCTTAAAGCGGAAAGGTTGCCTACCCCTGAACTAGACACATAGCTCAGATTCAACTTTCCAGATTATGTGATAGTTAGAACAGTCAGTATATTCTATGGTTTTTGGAACATCCAACACCAAATAAGAGATGAAACAGTAATTCTGATCTCAACTTTGATTAGGTCCCATATTGAGAGATGATGAGTTATAAATCAAATAAGTAAATAAATAAATACACACTTTCCCCATTTATTGGTAGGAAGTTGATCATGGGGAAAGACCATGGCTGCATCTGCCCTGCAGAAACAATCCAGGTTGACACCACTTTAACTGCCATGGTTCACTGCTATGAAATTCCAGGAATTGTTGCTCTGCTCAGGTGTCACATTAAACTACAATTCCCAAAATACCATCACATTTAGCCATGGCAGTTAAAGTGGTGTTAACCTGGATTATTTCTGCAGTGTGGATACAGCTCATGTGTAGTTTTCTTTTCCTTTTCTACTTATCCTCTAACTTTTATTTGGATTAGGATTGCTATTTTTTTTAATAGATGTTATTTGGTTACCACGGCAGTCATTTTATGGCACAACTTGGCACTTTGCTGTCTTTTTCATAGCAAAAAAATTCAAAATTCACATATGTTGTGGGCATTTGTGTGCAATAATCTGCTGTTTTAAACCTCCCCCTCTCTAAGTCACAGAGAAACAGAGATTTCCATAGGTAGCAAATGGACTGTCAGAACATCCCATGATCAGTGGCCATGCTGGCTTAGAAATTTTAGGAATTGTACTTCATAAGGTAATTTTTCCATGCTCAGGTACTGGCCCACTTATCTGTTTGTTTATTTTTATTCCCACCCTGCCATGACCTCACAGCATACAGTCTTGTTATTCTTCTACCATCTACTGATATCATCTAAGCATATCAATAAACCTTTACTATAATAATCCCATTTAAAAAGAACAAAATGGAAAGTCCTCTATTAATAGTCAACCCTGATATTATTGTTTTTCAAAGTATAAAATGGTTTTCAGAAGAAGAAAAAAAATCCCTTCAGAAAAGGAAGCTTACTTTGAACAGTTGCATCTAATTTGTCATAATAATTTTTCACCTTCATTCAAAATTGTTTAAATTCAGCTCACACCTACATTTGGACTATGCATTGTCATTCTGTATATTCAAGTAAAATTTTGATTATTTTGTATTTATGCAGACATAGCTGCAGGATTTAATCAGAGAAGTCTACTAACTGTTGCAAATCACTTGATTCAATATTTTATTCATTCTTTTCATAGAAGCCAGGGCAGGAGTAGTCTACAAAGAACCTGTTTGTCACTCTGCAAGTTCATGATTAGAACAAACATATAGCTGTTTTCATTCATTTGAACTTCTATCAAACTCCAGAGGATTTGTCCTTTCTTGTTAGAACTACTAAATAAACTAGATTTGGAGGCGGGGGTGGGTAGAAGAATGTTCTATTTATCAGCTGTCAAAATGAAAACCATATGAACTGAGTCAAAATGTTGAGGTTTCCTATTTGGATAAAATATCTGACAAAACTGAAAGAGAGAAAAAAGCTTTGGTAAGATTAGAAACAATTCTTGAAGGTGGAGACTTTCTTCTTCCTAATTAATTACTACCTTGCAAATGTGCCATGTAATCTGATATAATGTTGTTGTTGTTGCTTTATGATGTCAAATCATTTCTGATTTATAATGACCCTAAGGCTCTATCATGGGGTTTTCTTGCCATGTTTCTTCAAAGTGGGTTTGCCATTGCCATCCTTTGAGCCTAAGGTTACCTTGTGGGTTTCTATGGCAGAATTGGGATTTGAACCCTGGTCTCCAGAGTTGTAGTCCAGTACTCAAACCATTCCACCATTCTGGCTTTTGTTTTTATGTTACAATCTACATATTTTGAAACTACTATGAGTAATGGTGTTATAGATATGAGTAGCTGTCTCTTATTCTGTTTTATTGTTGCTTTCAAGGATGGTTCTTCACAGTACCCATTCTGCTTCCAATATAACTTAGATTTTGGAATGAATATGGGAGTGTTTTGTTTCACTTTGTGTCTTTTTACTGTACTGGTTATTGAAGTTCAGGAATGTGTTTGTGCACTATGCAAAAAGCACTATGGAAAAGGAATCTTTTGTTTTCCAAAGCTTTTGGAGTTTTAGTATAACATTGTTTTATTATCTTGTAAGCTTCAGAGGAAGGCAAAGGCAAACCCCCTCTGAACAAATCTTGTCAAGAAGACCACATGAAATGTTTGCCTTAGGGTTGCCATAAGTCAGAAACAGCTTGGAGACACAGCACAACAACAAATTTTGATATGTATTTGTCACTTTCCCTTATTTATATTGTATTCTTTTTGTATTATATCTGTATAATTTGTTTTATAATTATATCATTTTATTTTTGTATTATTCCATCCTTCCACTGTGTGCGTATATGCATGTGTATATTTTAGATTCTACTCTGTTTTTATTGTTGCTTTGCTTGTGAAGTGCTATGTACATAGAGGGTATTATATAAATAAACAATCATCATCATTATCATCATTATCTCAAAAGCACTCCTGATACAACTATGAGGCTTACTGCATTACCTTTTAAGTTGACATCAGTTAACTGCCATGGCTCAATTATATGGAATTCTAGGAATTGTAATTTGTTGTGGCACTGGAGCTCTCTGACAGAGAAGGCAAAATGTCTTACAAAACTACAGTTTCAGAGGAGATGGGGTGGAAGAGTGTGCCTTCAAGTCTGATATGTGACCCTAGGGAGAACCTATCATGGGGTTTTCTTGACAAAATTTATTTGGAGGAGGTTTGCCATTACCTTCCCCTGAGGCTGAGAGCATGCAACTTGCTCAGGGTCACCTAGTGGGTTTCATTACTGTGCTAGGATTCAAACAATGGGCTCCAGAGGTGAAGTTCAACACTCAACCACTATGCCACACTGGCTCTGTCCTATTTGTCATTTTGCTTCATAGGAAGGCATTTTCACACTCATCATTTTTAGGCTTCTAGAGACCATTCTTCAACATGTTCACACTTTATTTCAGAACAGGATGTCCCAGAGCAGGATATCAGAAACTTCTGATCTGAAAAATATTTACTAGATCTCTGATAAAAAGCAACAACCTGCATTTTCCCAATTAACATTAGCATACTAATTCATTCACACTAGTAAATCATTTGTAGTAAGAAATTTCACATAAACAGCAACAATACTGTTTGTTACAATAGCTATGTGAGATCTCCTTATATAGCATTTTTTCATGTCTTGTATGTTTTTAGTTTACTGTAGTAAATTTTTATTACAAATCATGCATATAAGGTTTAGCCTGAAGCAGTTGGTTATCTGCTGTCATTAGTGTATCTTGCAGAGCCACACTGTGGAAACATAAGAAGATTGCCCTACATTGCTATACTTCGTATTCATTTTAAAAGGTCCTGTGCTTTGATGACTCTTAGATCTCCAAAAGCAGCTTTGTCCACAGTAATTGTTTTTTCTATCTGAACATTGCAGTTGTTTGGGTAATCTTGTTTGCAAAATAAATATTTTTGTTCACATCTCGAAGTAATTTACAAGAAACCATGGGGCTGGTATGTGGAATTGTGTTTGGTATTTGTGTCCTTCCCCTCCCACCACCATTTCCTTCAACCATTTGGCTAAACTACATGAGAAATCTTTTTCAGTATAAAAATTTTATGTTTCTATTCTTTCTTTTTTTCTTTCTAGCAATAGCAAGGACATTTCTATATTACTTCTCAGTGCACTTAAGCACTCCCTAAGTGGTTTACAATGTGTAAGCTAATTGCCCAAAACAAGCTAGGTACTTATTTTACTGACCTCAGAAGGATGCCAGGCTGAGTTGACCCTGAGCCCCTTGACTGGTATTGAACTCACAACCTTGTGGTTTGTGAGTAAGTGGCTGCAGTACAGGCATTTAACCACTGCACCACCAGGGATTCTTTCTTTCTTTTTGGCAAATATTGTAGCCAGATGTTGGTTTATTTATTAAAACTTTGTTAAATTCAGAGAAGGTTATCTAACCAGAAACTTATTTTGAATTGAAAACATCCTCAGGAACTCTGTGTGTGTGTGTGGGGGGGGGTCCTAAAGTAAATCAACCCCACGCCAATGCCATCCTGATGGCGTGCACCACTACGCACAGTGCACAGCATCAGGATGACCTCCCAGCTCAGTGTTTAAACATGCTGTGTCAAAAGGGTGAAGAAGAGCCATGGCGCCAGCCCTTAGGGTGGCTTTTTGCTGCCCCTAAGATTAGTGGCATTTTGCCACTCTTTTAGGGATAGCAAAAGGGAGGATCAGGGCTGCAGCATGGGGTTGCTGTGGCCCCGGTCTGCTACTTCCCAGGGCGGCCCAGAGCCACCCATCTGCAGAGGTCCGAAGTTGCAATTGGTTTACCATATGATTAATCAGCAATTATTGGTCTTAATTGTGAATGACTCATGTTTTTGAAAGCAATCATGACATAGAAAACCAAGTTTTAAGAACATGTGCCACTGTAATTTCAGAGTATACTGTGTATTCAGACTGGAAGTAAATAAGTAACAAAGAAAAATTGATCAGAGGAGAAGCATTTATGTTTCTCTTTCTTATCACACACCTAAATAAACTGGTTTACCTGATCTGGCTTAAACATAAATGCAGATGGCATCTGGACCCTATCATAAGAATTTTGCTGCCGAAATCACCGCCCAGGGCCATTCCAGGGCCATACCCACTCCTAGAGCCACTCAGTGTGGTGTTTGTTTTTTTTCAAAGCCAGGAGTTTTCTGGCTTGAGAAAATGGCTGCCAGAGCAGCTCCAGGAGGAGAGATGGCCTCGGGATGGTCTTGGGTGGCAATTTCAGTAGCAAAACCCTTGTAATAGGGTCTGGACACCACCCACATTTATTTTTAAGCTGGATCAGGTAAACCAGTTCATTTAAGTGAGTGATAATCTTTTCAGTTTGTACCTGCCAGAAATGGAATAGAATTTGCAATAAAAAGTGTACAGCTATGGGAATGCATTCCCATTCTAAAGGTCTAGTTTCTGCATGTGGGTCCAGGAGATGGATTTCAACAATTCTATATATATAAAAAGACAAAATAAGTTGTATTAGCCTTCACTATGTTCACTGCACAGGTCAATGAAGCTGTGATGCTGATTGTAATAATGAAGCAGATGGGGTGGAAGCAGATAAGAGGGACTCTGGTATGCGGGTTGCTGAGTAAATCACACTGAAAGGAATGCATTAGCCCCCTATTTCCTCAGAAGTCATCATCACAATCCCTGACTGATTTTTTCCCTAAATAAAAACTCTCTGAAATAATCATAGCTACCTTGAATCTCAGGTTTTTTGTAACTGTGCTTTGGAAGGCTTTAGTAGTTGTTTTTACATATAGAAGGATGGACTTCCCTATACTGTTTCAGGTCAGACATCTTTGTAGTGAAGGTGTTGGTCTGGCCAAAGAAGAGGGTAGAACATGATAGCAGTGACCTCTACCTTGTTTATTTTAAAATAAAATAATATAAAAGAATAGTTTATACAAGACCGTAATATAGGATAATTCAAAGCTTACAATGCAAATGGATTAGTGGACATAATTTGGGGTTTGCTCACTTCATGGAAAAACAAGTTGGTTTATAAGTGAACAAAATGCTTAAACAACTTTTTTCCATCTCCATTCCTGATGTGGGTAATTTTTCTTGACTCTGTCCAGATTTCCAAATGCCATGACATGTAATTCCTACCCAAGGGTTGAAAATTGCCCAAAACTAGAGGTCCATGTTCCCCCCCCTTCTCAGTAATACTCTACATAACACACCACATTTTCATGTCCATCCCTGAAACATTTAACCAGTTCTTCTCTCGTCTCCCCACCCCAGTATCAATATTCTTTCCCAAAGTCTCCTGGAGAAAGGTTGGCTATTTTTCCATTATCCACACATGCCACTTTTAGGCCTGACGGGCTGTTTTTCAAAACCAAAACCTGGAAGGTCACTTCCTGCTTTAAAGGTGATTTCCCTCTCAATGCAGTGAAATGATGAATGGTGAGGGGCTTGGAGTTCCCTGTGGGTATATAAATTGTCACCTTTGCCTACTCTGCATAAAAACTCATGCAAAATACAAAGATTAGGGAAACATACACTACACAAACAAATTAAAATGATAGCCCATTATGCAGTTCTATGATTTCCTTATAAAGTCTCCAGGTAGTGTTTGTATGCAGACAAATATTATCTGTGAATCATTGTTTGGATAGAATAAAAGTCTCATTCTAGATTCCTAGCCCAGGAGCCCTCACAAGCTTGATCAGGCTCTGAATACATAGAAACAAAAGCAAAGCAGCTTCATCTATATACCACTTCATACCTCACTGTGCAGTGTCTAAGTGGTTTACAACTGTAAGCTCATTGCCCCCCAACAGCTGGGTACTCATTTTAGCGACCTCGGAAGGATGCAGGCCTGAGTCAAGCCTGAGCCCTGGCTAGTACTGAACTCGCAACCTTGTGGTTTATGAGTGAGTGGCTGCAGTACAGACATTTAACCACAGTGCCACCAGCAAACCTGTACCTTGATGACTGCAAATGAGTTCATATATATCCTGTGAAATGACTATCAGAGGTATAGAAGCCACATTAATTTCACCAATTGAGTAATGAATTTGCAAGAGGTCACTACCAGCAGCATATTCATATCATTGCAGGGGAAATGATGCAGCCCCAGGATATTTGTGTTATGAATTGCACCCATACAGATGTAAATACTGTAAGATTTGAATTGCCATGGACAAAATGTATTCATAGATTCAATTGTTGTTAGTATAGTGGGTATATATAGAAATATGATTATTTGTTTTTAATGTAG